AAAAAAAAATCCAAAAATTCCAAAACGATGACGTTTTTGGCGTTCAAGCATATTGCAAACACAAGCTAACCGTTCACGACCACAAGCGCAATCGAAGCCGGTGCTTGAGCACGTGCATTCAGCGAGCTGAATCCACAGTCCGAAAGAGTCTGCTCATCGCTAAGCGGCAACCAATATCCCTCGTCATTCTGCTTCTTCAAAATTTGTTTTCCGACCGGTAGCTGAATTTAATTTTCAAAACTTAGCTTAAATAATGTTTGGATTGTTGGTGTTTGCAAGTATCTGTAGTGCTTATTCCCAAAAACCGTAGGATTTTTTCAAGACAGGCCAAATTTCAGTCAATTTAAGCAACACCCGAGAACCTAAATTAACAGCTACATGAATCTCCAAGGGACAAATCCTTCGCAAGATCATTTTACTGAGAGGGGAGGTATTGAGAAGTAGCGAGTGATCGTAAATTTCATCCGCTTTTATTAAAACTTTTTTTCAATGACCATATAGAATTATTGGTGGTTTGTCTTCCTGACATGTGCCATCATAGCGAATCTAATGAAACAATCGTAGAAGGGGACCTGGCTGCACCTCGCACAGAGCCGAACCCTCGCACTCAGCACAACAGCAGCGCTACTTGTCATCGCGTTAGGCTCAACAATGAATGAAATGTAAAAAATTTATCAAAGAAAACTCGAAGCTTAAAAAAAAACTCGAAAAAACCCAAAAATCAATTCCCATGCGGCACTTCTCTAAGAGGGACAAAAATAGCCAAAACCTAACTCTGTATTCGCTATGTATAAAAGGCGGAGGCAACGGAAAGCAATCTGAGTAGTAGTAGCACAAATGCCAAAAAAGCCACCTCCAGCAAGGTTACCGGTGGTTATTCCCTCTTCCAAGAGTTACTTACAAGCAAGCTGACAGAGGATTTCTTGGCGCATGCTATTACCAAATTACCATTGTAAAGGGACATTATGTTTCAACGACCAAGTCAAATTCTCGACTTACTGCAGTCGCCACACTGATGAGGTCCAGTTGCAGCACTGAACGGGAATGTGTGCGACTTAATGGACCGGAACAATCCAATTCAGTTTTTACTTTTAATTATAACCTTCTTCATAACTTTATAAAGCATACAAATTACTACATGACAACAGTGCTACATTACACTGAACTGTGCCCATCTATTAAAATCATAAATTTCTGTGTTGTACAGCAAAAGAAATCTCAAAATATGTTACCTTTAAAATACCTTCAACAATTCTCTTCAATTCCATCACAGTTGCGTTTTCTTTGGCATCACAAAAAATGTGAGTTTTACGACGAAGAATTTCAAAAAAGAGATCCTGAGACGCTGGCTCCCTTGGCATCTAAACAAAATTAATCCTTTACAATTGTGCACTGCCAATTATAAATGCTTATAAAATACAAAAAACTTTGCATAACGGCTTGTTATTATTAACTGGCGAAAATAAGATTTCTGCATGTTTGATTTGGCACCAACAATAAAATATGAGAAATTTCACGTGGCTGATTCATCGATAATGATAGCCCGGCCACTGGTAACGGTTACATTTTAAGCAAACTATAAATAAACGACCACTCGGTGGGCAGCACTCAAGCACAACGACCACTCGGATGATGCAATTACATCGAGCAAGGGATGCGTGCCAAGAATGTGAAGGTATGCAGCTAAGATTTGAAGGACCAAGCATAGCTACATTCGGCCTGTAAAATCATCCTAGCAACATCAATAACGGGGGTACCTACACTGATGGTCCAACCAGTCTTAGTATTCCTCACGTAAATAAAGTATCAGTGCCGAAAAATGAAAGTTCCGAAAAAAATAAGCAAATAAGATAAAATCAAAACCCCTTCCACTCTGCGAAAAGAGGAAGCGCTCGGGAAGTGGTCCGAATTGACAGCAAGTAGCAACTTATTGATGGCTGCTACAAGCAAACTGATGGCAGAATTAACAACCTGAGGTATGTCAAAAAAAAATTGGCCAACGCACGGGCTGCCCGTGCGAAGATGCGTTTTTTTGCAGAGTTCCCCGCA